CCTCCTCCAAATGGTCCCTGAGAATCATAGTGAGATCATTTCTGAGCCTGCTCATTCCAACCTCAGTTGCTTTCTTCTCTTTTAGTTTCAAAAGACAAAGGAGTTTTTCTATCTGGCAAAAAGGGAAAGTGTTGGGTCTAATCTCTCTTCATCCATGAGGCAGAGCATGCACCCCCCAGATATGAGAAATGGTTTTAGAACGTCTGCAGTTTACACGGCATAAAACTGACATTCTAGAATACTGAAAAATAGTCTGGCTTCGCAGTATCAGCATTCTTATTTAAATAGAAAAAAAACCAAATGCTGCATAGGTAACAGCCAATCAAAATGTGTTCTACCTAGCCAACAGATGACCACAGAAAAATCTCAACCAATCAGAACTCAGCTGTTGGCCAGCAACCAAATGTATAATCTGCCTACAATACCCAGTTAAGGTCCAAAAAGCTAATCCTTCCTCCAATAAACCACCCTGGTGACTTCATTCTGGGCTATTGGGCCAGAATGTTACTTGAATTTGATGTGCAAAGTTGGTCAGGTTTTGTTTGGCTTTTTAAAAAAGGGATGATTAGGAGCCTTAGTTGCATTATATCATTTTGTCTATTTAGTTATGATTTTTGGGGGGCAGGGGAGATAGATATTTAAGTTATGTTTACTTTTGTATTACAATATTGCATGCATTTAGACATTATCAGCTGCATATAATCACTATGCTGAAATAGTAATCATATAAACTATTTTAATATGTAATAAATAAAAGATTATTCTGTAATTTTGGTCTGTGTACTCCCTCACCACTTAGCTGACACTCAGCAGCTGGGAGATGGAGCAAGGGCACCAGAGATATTACCCCATGTAAGGTAATGGACTCCAACACAGCCACTTCTGCTGGGCCCTTCACTTTTTGAAAAGGGAGATTCTTGCATGCCCCAAAGACTGTAAATGTAACAGGAGGAGGTCAGGACTGGACTTTTTGGGAAGGGAAGCATTTAGTATTAACTGAACAGAGGTGGGCAAAGTTGATTTCATAAATGGCTCTGAAGCCACATCTACCAATGCCCTCAGACATTACTGCATTTCTGTAAAAAAAAATGCTGCTGATATATTCTGCATGTAGAAAGATTAGTTTGTGCATGAAAAGAAGCACTTTTACTTGCTAAGGAACCGAAGAGAGGCAGGTATTATGCAGCTTTAATTATACAGATTTGTTGGTGCAGAAAAGCAGATTAGTTTTAGAGGTGAAAGATATTTCTTTCATCCAATATGGGAGCCTAATTAATCTCACCCAAACTATTTCTGTTGGGAATATTAACAATTTGTTCAGTCTGGCCCGGCAGAGAAAATTCACATGGCAATTCATTAATGTACAAAGGATGAAAGGGAATTGACTGGCATCCCAAAGGACTTTCCCCAACTTCTACTTTGCATTTGACAGATGCCTTTCATCCTTCCATGCAAGCAAATTCAAAAGTCTGCTTGAACTCACATGACCTTTTTCTGATCATACTAATTCTCACTGTTACATGGTTGAAAATGATTAAGAAACAAATTCTTTTTCAAATATGTATCTTCTGTGTTTTTATTTTAGTTGGGAACCTGTTATACCAAATTTCATAGCCATTTTACTCTCTAATCTGCAAAGAATATCATTTAGGAAGGAGTACCATACAACAAAGACTATTCAATATATCTTGTTTTTAAAGTTATAACATCAATGATTAGCATTAGCAACTGCTGCAGGTACTACAGGGATGGGTCCTGGGAAGTTTTCACGTGCTATTAGCAAGGCAATTTAAATCAGAAAAGTATCGTAAGTAATAATAGTAATAGTAATAATAATAAAGTTGGAAAGGACCTTGGAGGTCATCTAGTCCAACCCCTTGCTCAGGTGAATCCCTTCAGAACAGTGGCTCATCTGAAACAATACTCCCCTCCATACATAAGTACTCAGTGCCAGCAACATTAAGTTTCCCATAAAAGGGAACAGCTAAATAGCTTGAGTGGAACCAATATGACAAGCAAATCAAACCTCCCCAGTTCAGGATAGGGATTCAGGAAATCCATCCCTGGAAACTGAGAAGCTAATACATAGATTCCTGATGCAGAAGCCATGGAATCACTCTTGAAGACTCATAAATCTTCCTTTAAGATCCTTACTATGAGGCTATCCTAGCACTGTGCTTGTAGGTGCGCCAAATAAAACTTTCTGCCTCCTCAGCTGTAAAATCTCCCCTCTATTAATGAGAAAAAGTCATTAAATGGCTTCTGATTTGTCACAAAAGAAAAACAACAGACTATGCTCCGTATGTTGGCCACTTGGCAATCTCCAAGAGATAGTGTCAGAGAGGCACAGAGGAGAAAAATGTAGTGTATTTGAACGTTATCATGTATTAAGGAGGGGGAGAGAAGGGGTTAGGAAGGACAAACAGAGGTTGAGGTTACCAGGCAACCAGAAAACAGGAAAGGACAGTTGGAAGCAAGGCTTTCTGTAAAAGAACTGGTTAAGCAAATTAGATTTCTGAGGTTTTTTTCCCCCCTAGTATCCGTAGACCCTTAGGAAGAATGTTGAAAGTATATAGCAGATGTTGAAGGAGAGTTGAAGGCAAATAGTCTTGAACAAGAAGACAACAGGCAAAGTGAGATATTTAGATGGGAACTATTTTTTACCGTATAGAAAATTTAATATGGAGATCTTTAGGCTGAAATGAATTCAGTACTTAGACTAGACTGAAATGAAAGAGCTGAGCAAGTTTTGCCTTTAAAAGAGAAGGCAGAGAAGTCTATGACAGCTGAATAGTGTCAAACAGAAAAAGGTGATGATTATTAATATTTCAGAATCAGGACATATAAAATGGGGCTGCATTACAGGAAAGTACTGCAGGCCACTTTAGCTGACTGTGTTCAGCAGGTCAGCGGTTCAAATTTCATCGGCTCAAGGTTGACTCAGCCTTCCATCCTTCCGGGGTAGGTAAAATGAGGACCCAGATTGTTGGGGGCAATGTATGAGTGAATTCATTCACTTAGCTTTCTTGCCAGGAATACAAAAATGTACCTTTATCTTTTTCCAATTTATTTATTTTTGCCTTCCTAGTCTACATGACATCTGTGGTATTTGCTGGTGGTTTCCCAAACAAGACCAATTACAATATGTTTAGTTTCTAAGTCCAGACAAACTTGACAGATATTTCTGCCTGCTGAGGTTGCTGGAATTAGTCATATGTAAAGCACTTTGCTCTGATAACAGAGATTGATAGAACAGTCAATAATAAAATATGGAACAGGATGAACATTTGCTTACCAGTTTGCTTTTCCAGCATTACTGAATATAAGCCCGTAACTCAATAAATACTTATAGAACTTAATATGTAAATGCAAAGACGCTGATAGAAGAGAATATTTGTAGCTCAGGGTTGAACTACCAGCACTGATGATGTTGCCTGGTTTGGTAATGAAATGTCTGCAAGAAAACCACCAAACTCAGCACCAAGGACTCTACACAATGAAGACAGATAATATTTTTGAGAAGAGGCAATTTTTGAGAAGAGACAATTAAAAAGCCCTACATCCACTTATTTTGATAAAAATTGTTTCCCATGCTGGTTATTAGCCTTTGAAAATATCATTCTTCTAGTGCAGGCATGTCAAACTGCCGGCCCATGGGCCGGATGCGTCATGCCAAAACTATGCCCACCCCATTGCCAGCAATAGGGGAAAAGTCACAATACATCATGCGACATCATGAGTTTGACATGCCTGTTCTGGTGTCTGTTCACAATAATCAGGTAATTTGAATTTCCTTGGCCCAGGAATTTTGTAACATGCAAAAAGATGAACTTTAAATCGTTTGCTTCCACTCACTTGTTGAAGGAAAAGTCTTCATCATGGTTCAGTCCAAGCTGGAAATAAACAACATAGCAACTGCTTTAGAAAGAAGGTTGCAGTTTATCGAAGAGAGAGCCAGACAGAAAGATGGCTCTGGAAGAAAAAAAAAAGAGAGCACATGTAGGGAGTGGGTTTTTATACCCTCTGGGGCTCTTGAGGTTGTTTCCTGTTCCTGTTTGAGGCTTTGTATTTCCTGTGTCATGTATTTTGACCTGAGTCTGAGTATGCCCTTTGGCATCTGTGGGTCTATCCTACTATTTCCTGTCTTAAAGTTTGGGTGGGGTATGTAGATTTTAGGTGCCTTTGTCTTCCTAAGCTTCTAGCTGGGGGCCTCCAACCTTCCTGGATTATTTACATCTGCTTTTCTACAGAGCTGGTTTCTGCTTGGGGGAGGGAGACTTGGGTCTGTTAAGAAAAAACTGGGCATGCTTTTCTGCCTCTTTTAAATTTTTTTGAGGAAACATAATATTCTCCCTTTTTAATGTTTCCTTCTGGGAGAGGGGGCTGACTTCCCACATACCTAACCAACTGCACAATATAATTTTACAAAAACGTTTAAATTGATTGATCAAAGTCATGCCAAGCTTATATCATTATTAGTTAAACTAGGATGGCTTCCCCACCTCCAGATATCATTAAGATTCGTAGCTGTGCTTGGTAGATCGGGAATGATGGAGTTGCTCTCCTATCCATCTAAAAAGGTACAGAAGTGAGATGAGGCTTAATTACCAAGATTGCAAAAATCTATATATTTCGGTCACTTTATATTGGAACAAAAGTACTTATCACCATGCTGAAAGGCCCAGCATTTCCTGAGAACTACGATGAAAATCTTTCATAGCGTTTTTATTTGAAACCCTTTTGGAATCAATGCTTGATTACGCTGCGAGCGTTCCTATAGTAACCGTGCCTTATTCTGCAGTTGCCTGGACACATGAAGCAACAAATACGCATGCGCAACAAGCCCTTCTTTCGTCAGTCTAGGAAGCGCTGATTCTCCCTTTTGATCGGTCTAAGCGCGGTTTTTCTATGGTTTGTATGGATCATAGCTTCGCGTCAAGGAGAGAGTGGCAGCGACGCGCGGAGCTGAATAATGGCGGCGGTCGATATAAGAGGTATTGGAGGGGAATATCGTCGGGTAGTTGTAGCTGCCTGGTACTTAGATATAAACAGGAACGGTCCCTACGGAACTGGGAGGATCACTTTTTGCTTGCTTAGTTACTTATTTATTTTAGTATTTTTCTAAAGCACATTTTCCTGGGCTATTGTCCACTTCCATCAAAGGCATGGAGTATTTTCATGAGCCACGTCGACACGGAGAGCCACAAAACACCAACTCCTCGCTACTATTCCGGGATCGTAGGCTATTCTATTTTAAAAAAATCGAAGAACCAGGATATTTTCTCCACCGGAAGAGCTTCAGATGTTCAGATCCATTCAGATTTCTTTCCGATTTCAAGTTAATCTCTAGCTTTGAGGAGGGGGACCAATCATATTAGTCGTGCATTCTGACTAATATTGGTCAGCAAAACTGTATAAAGAAGTCCTGTATACTAGCTTTCTTCTGGACAAATGACATGTTGGTTTAATTTGTTGATTGCAATGGGGAAATATTATTTATATTTTCTAACCTGTGGAAATTAGATTAAGATTGAACATAAATCAAATTGAATAAATTCAGATTATGTAATACTGACTGAGTTCAACTAATGATTCAAATGTTCGTGCTTTGAAGTGTTGGGTTCAATTTCAAGAGCTACTTAGAAGGGTGAGACGGATATACAGCAGATGCAAGGTCAGAGAACAGCAAAATTTGCTACAACTTTTATTTTTTTTAAAGTTTGTTAGATGTTAATGAAACATGTATACAGTAGTTGTATTGTCATACTATATATACTGTTACATTTCTCCTGAATAATCAATTGGTTGAAGTTTCTTGTATAGTTGCAAAATTTTGTGTAATGGCCAATTAAGATAATTGGTTCACTTCTTGGATGCACCTACGGTATATCTGCTGTGTATCATGTTTAACTTTTACATGCATTGAAACTGATAAGGATAAAATTGTTATAACTTTAGGAAGACAGAAAGATTTTAGGTATTAATTTATTTTATGTTATACATTGTCAGACAACAATTGATTCAAGGATAATATGTGCAGGGGCCTTTAATATAACATGTTTCTAGAGTATTATTTCTTATGTTTTTGAGCAGGTGACCTTATTAAAACAGCTGCTGCTGAGCTAATTATGCTATACCATTGAGAATCCAAATTTCCTCAAATGACCACTGATATAAACAAATGTAAATAAAAATAAAGTATATATTAAAACTAATAACAAATTGCTATTTCATTGTGTTAGGGATTAATATTGCTACATTCTTGGCTTGCTAGAGTAGATACCTAACATTGATAAAGATCAATCAGTTGTCTGATCATTGATATTTACAAAAAAAATGGATCAATCTAGTTTCTGATTTGGGTCACACATTGCATTCAAGTGTTTGTGTGCCTGTGTTTTGACAAAGCCATCATTGGTTATTATAGCATGTTTAAAAAAACCAATCATGTTTTAATACAATATCTAAGCCTGAATGTATTTTTAAATCTGGCTCCACATTTTTCATGAAGAAAAATGTATGAAATAGTGTATATATGAATCAGATCACTATAGTTTCTTCAGACTATGATTAAAACAAACCATGGTTAGATTATTAGGTAAAAATCAGCTTTTGTATTTTTCCTGCTGATTCATTTATTCTGAAGAGTTTTGTTTGTTTTTTGTTGCTTTCTTCTACAATCATGAAAATAACCAAGAGCTCAAGATTCTTTATGAACCAAAAGGAAGAAATGATTTTAAAAGGAATGGACAGAAAATAACAGTCTGAGAATCAAAGCATACTCACAATCAAGACATCTATCAAACTTTGACTCTACCGATATAAAGAAGAGAAATTTCTTCCAGTTTTGTAGCAGTGAAAAGGGCAAGAAAGTCAGTTCATCAGATCACTCACTATTAATAGATACTATACAAAAGCTATAGTTACAGAATAGACAAACTTTTAGGTCTGGAAAGAACAAACCCCATATTTCTGACATATTCCAAGATCAAGCAAACTAGAATTAATTTTAAATTAGGTTTGGTTTTTTTTGTAATTTAATGCAAGTCATAAATTTAGAGTTCAGAAATAATCAAAAGAAATCCTTAAAGAAAAAGCACCTGATACTCATTGGTTAGTATTAATCTGATCCTGAATTTCTGTTTCAGAATACAAATCCATCTTTTTTTTTATTAAAATGAGGCCCAAACAGACCTGGAGGAGAGCATCTACTCCAGAGCAATGACAGAAAAGGAATGTCTCTGGATTCCCAAAAGATGTCATTGTTTGATATTGGAAGCCAGAGCATGCCCACCCTGCTAGATCTTACAGGATAAAAGACATAATTATTGAAGGAGGTTTCCTTAAACATCCATGCCCTGATCTTTCAAGAACTTTATAGACAATAAATAGTACCTTGAATTGTACCCAGGAACTCAACTACAGGTAGTTCTTATGACCAGTTGATTAGTGACCATTTGAAGTCATGATGGACTTATCGAGGGAGGAGTACTTATGACCTGGATTCAAAGTTTCTACAGTTCTGCAGTCACATGACTACAAGTTGGGAACTTAATAGCCAGGCCACATTTATCCATGGTCACATGGTCCTATTTTTACAATGGTTTTGCCAAAACCCGCTGTTTGTTTTCAGCAAAACCGGCCAAAAGCAAAGCATGGGTTCACTTAATGACCACAACAAAAAAGGTCATAAGTGTATGGTTTACTAAATGTCAGCGGAGGTTTCTGTTAAACCGGAGGTCTTCAAACTTGGCCCTTTTATGACTTGTGGACTTCAATTCTCAGAATTCCTTAACCAGGCACGCCTGGCTGAGGAATTCTGGGAGTTGGAAGTCCACAAGTCATAAAACGGCCAAGTTGGAAGACTCCTGTGTTAAACTGTCCTATCTTGGATCCTTCTGTAATGTTTATTTTAATTATTTTTAAGAAGTAATTTACTCCAGTGGGGGGGGGGGAATTGTTTCATAGAAAGGAATGGAGCAGATGTATTTTACATATGACTGTATGTTGTCTTCCAAGAGCTAGAGAGCAGCATATGTATTATTCATAGACCTATTTATGCTGCATTAAGCATGGCTTCCCAGCCTTCTGGGTTTTGCTTTCTAAAAGATTTCTGAAGCAGCATATGCATATTTTATGCAACCATACAGGAGAAACTCGAAAAATTAGAATATCGTGCAAAAGTTCATTTATTTCAGTAATGCAACTTAAAAGGTGAAACTAATATATGAGATAGACTCATTACATGCAAAGCAAGATAGTTCAAGCCCTGATTTGTCATAATTGTGATGATTATGGCTTACAGCTCATGAAAACCCCAAATCCACAATCTCAGAAAATTAGAATATTACATGCAATCAATAAAACAAGGATTGTACATAGAACAATATCGGACCTCTGAAAAGTATAAGCATGCATATGTACTCAGTACTTGGTTTGGGCCCCTTTTTCAGCAATTACTGCCTCAATGCGGCATGGCATGGAAACTATCAGCCTGTGGCACTGCTGAGGTGTTATGGAAGAACAGGATGCTTCAATAGTGGCCTTCAGCTCTTCTGCATTATTTGGTCTCATGTCTCTCCTCTTTCTCTTGGCAATGCCCCATAAATTCTCTATGGCGTTCAGGTCAGGCGAGTTTGCTGGTCAATCAAGCACAGTAATCCCACGGTCATTGAAACAGGTTTTGGTGCTTTTGGCAGTGTGCCTCTCCATTCTTCTTCCAGACTCTGGGTCCTTGGTTTCCAAATGAGATGCAAAAGTTGCTCTCATCAGAAAAGAGGACTTTGGACCACTGAGCAACAGACCAGTTCTGTTTTTCTTTAGGTAAAGATACTTCTGACGTTGTTGTTCAGGAGTGGCTTGACAAGAGGAATACGACATTTGAAGCCCATGTCCAGGATCCGTCTGTGTGTGGTGGCTCTTGATGCACTGACTCCAGCCTCAGTCCACTCCTTGTGAAAGTCCCCAACACTTTTGAATGGCTTTTTCCTGACAATCCTCTCCAGGCTGCGGTCATCTTTGTTCCTTTTTTTTCTTCCACACTTTTCTCTTCCACATAACTTTCTATTAATGTGCTTTGATACAGCACTTTGGGAACATTCAACTTCTTTTGCAATTACCTTTTGAGGCTTTTCCTCCTTATGGAGGGTGTCAGTGTTGGTTTTCTGCACAACTATCAGGTCAGCAGTCTTTCCCATGATTGTGATTCCTACTGAACCTGACTGAGAGACCATTTAAAGGCTCAGGAACCCTTTACAGTTGTTATGGCTTAATTAGCTGATTAGAGTGGGACACTTTGAGCCTAGAATATTGAACCTTTTCACAATATTCTAATTTTCTTAGATTGTGGATTTGGGGTTTTCATGAGCTGTAAGCCATAATCGTCTCATTTATGACAAATCACGACTTGAGCTGTCTTGCTTTGCATGTAGTGAGTCTATCTCGTATATTAGTTTCACCTTTTAAGTTGCATTACTGAAATAAATGAACTTTTGCACAATATTCTAATTTTTCGAGTTTCACCTGTATATCACAGCTTAGGTTGGATTTCAGGTTGATTCAAAGTTTCCATCTCAAAACTCTGCTGTAGAATAGTTACTATGAGAGTGCTGGGTTAAATAATAATGCTAAAATATATTTCTTATATTGAATTGGAACACTTCTGTATTCCCTTTTTCTATACATATTAAGAGTATTTTTTTTCACTGAAAAATCACAGATAATATTTTTTTTTTATTTAAAATGGCCTTAACTATCATGTGCTTTTCCCTTAATTTTACTTTTATATTGCAGTTGCCCCAAGATATGTTATGCTACTGGACTATAATAATGCAGTACTTTTTTTTATTTTATTGCCAATATGTAACATTTTTTAGGAATGCCATGTTATTTGAAACTTCCAAAGAGCTTGGTGGAATTGAACAAATATAACAACAGAAATATGAAGGAGGGAAGGGGGACCCAGTTTACATTCTGGAATCATTTGCAGCCCTGAAACATAACTTATATAAAATGCTGCCGGCCACCTACATTTAATTTTGATCATCCCATTTCTTCCCTTCTTATGTTCTTTTGTCCCTATCAGTAATGCTGCTTAGCATCTTGTAAATGTTTCAAATTGCCTGGTTATTTGTAGCTATGACATATCAGGATGACTTGGTGAAGACACCATTGTATAAAGAGCAATCCTGCTACCAAAGACTAAGCATCCTTTTTTCAAAACAGATTTCCTCCTTGAACTAGCAGAGTATGATGGAGTAGGACTCATATTTGATTGAGTTTTGCAACATTCAAGAGAGATATGTTTCCTGAATATAGAGGCTACATTATGTAAAAAGACTGTCTTTTATCCAGGCAATTTCAGTAGGTTATTCTGAATTTAGGTATTATAAGAAAAGAAAGAAAATCTGTCTAAACAATGGTCAAATTTATAATTCTTTATTGCGTTCACTACTCCCATCATTTTTATAAGCTAAAATTTCCAATGCCACATTTTTTTTTCTTATATCTTGCTATGGCATCCTGTTGGACATAGAAACCACTGGAGTGAAATAATATTATAAATGTATTGGTATAGGTGATGGAGTGGTAGTGTGGCTTTGAATTTGTTTTCTTTCCTCAAATATTTCTGCATTGATGTTATTTATCACTTTGATGCATTATTTATTTTTTACTTCCATAGAACTCAAGACCACAAGTACAAGTTGCAGTATTTGTGTCAGATATGCTTGACCTCAGCAAGTTTCTATATTGTCTGCTTTGGAGCCAAAACAAAAATGTACAATGATAGCTTAAATATTTTATTTTAAATATACAATATTTTTAAAGATGCTTCAGTGAGCAGACTATGGATCCCCAGCTTACATTAAAGAAAGAACTTACTGTGTTATTGTTAGACTAGTGCAGGGGTCTTCATATTTGGCCCTTTTATGACTTGTGGACTTTAACTTCCAGAATTCCTCAGCCAGCATGCCTGGCTGAGGAATTCTGGGAGTTGAATGCTGGCTGAGGAATTCTGGGAGTTGAAGACCACAAGTCATAAAAGGGCCACATTTGAAGACCCCAGCGCTAGTGTCATTAATTTGTAAGTTTTTGCACTGGATATTTCAGGTTGGTTAAACTTTTTTTTTTTTTAACTGTCATTCGTTTTTCTGAACACGAACTATGTTTTTCTCTTTTCTCCTCTTACTTTGCTTCTCCCTTGCTCATTATTCCACTTTTACAGATAATCTGCTGGGAATTTCCTGGGTTGATAGTTCATGGATTCCAATATTAAACAGTGGGAGTGTATTGGACTATTTCTCAGAGCGTAGTAATCCATTCTATGATCGAACGTGCAACAATGAAATGGTCAAAATGCAAAGGCTAACCTTGGACCACTTGAAGTAAGTTGACATAGTATTATTAGCTTTTTAGCTTTCAGGAAGACATGATATCATAATATCAACTAAGATGTGAAGAAACTTTACTGGCCAGAGATTAAATAATTAAGCCATGTTGTCCCAAATCTAAACTTCTGTTTTTGTTTGTAATTAATTTGTTATGACTGTAGTTGATAAATTATTTTCTGCTCATAGCAAAATTGTTTTTAACTCAAATGCTTCTATATCTGGCTCCCTTCCTTCCCATCAACTCAATTTTAAATCAGTTTAGTGTTAATATTTATTGTTTTTACATGTTAATGTTTTATCTTGTTTTTTAGCACTTAGCAATAGACAATAGACTTAGCAATAGACTCTAGAAAGAGTACAGAGAAGAGCAACAAAGATGATTAGAGGACTGGAGGCTAAAACATATAAGGAACGGTTGCTAGAATTGGGTATGTCTAGTTTAACGAAGAGAAGGACAAGGGGGGACATGATAGCAGTATTCCAATATCTCAGGGGCTGCCATAAAGAAGAGGGAATCAAGCTATTTTCCAAAGCACCTGAAGGCAGGACAAGAAGCAACGGGTGGAAACTAATCAAGGAGAGAAGCAACCTAGAACTAAGGAGAAACTTCCTGACAGTGAGAACAATTAATCAGTGGAACAGCCTGCCTCCAGAAGCGGTGAATGCTCCAACACTGGAAGTTTTTAAGAAGAGACTGGACAGCCATTTGTCCGAAATGGTGTAGGGTTTCCTGCCTGAGCAGGGGGTTGAACTAGATGACCTCTAAGGTCATTTCCAACTTTACTACTGCTGCTGCTACTACTACTACTTCTACTACTACTACTACTACTACTACTACTACTACTACTATTATTATTATTATTATTATTATTATTATATACCGCTTCAGAGTGCTTTATAGTCCCCTCTAAGCAGTTTACAGAGTCAGCATATTGCCCCCAACAATCTGGGTCTTCATTTTACTGACCTCAGAAGGATGGAAGGCTGAGTCAACCTCCAGATTGTCAGAATTGAACTCCTGGCTGTGGGCAGAGTTAGCCTGCAATACAGATAGCCCTCGACTTAACCACAGTTCATTTATTGATGGTTTGAAGTTATAACGGCACTGAAAAAAGTGACTTATAATGGTTTTTCACGCATACGACGGTTGCAACATCCTTATGGTCACGTGATCAAAATTCAGATGCTTGGCAACTGGTTCATAATTATGACCATTGCAATACCTTCTTAGTCAAAACTGAAAACAAAACCAGCAGTGTTGATACCATTGTTGTGGCTGAAGTTTGAGTGTGAGGCAGACCTCTCTAATATGAGAAAGCCTTTTTGTAAACATAGGGCAAATCCTTAAAGCAGCCAAATTGCTATTTATTCAGAAAGTTTGAGGAAGGACCTAGGATTTAAGATGGAGATTACCGTAAATGCCGGCGTATAAGGCGACTTCCGCGAGCGCTGAAATCGGCGCCAAAGACGGGGGTCGTCTTATACGCCGGAAATACTGGTAGTTTCCGGCGTATAAGACGACGTTCTAGGAATACGGCCCGGCTATAAAGACGGGGGTCGTCTTATACGCTGGGTCGCCTTGTACGCCGGCATTTACGGTACAATATTTTATTTATTGGGTGAGATTCCAGAATGCTGTTAAATGGAGTCTTTCTTTCTTCATATCTATGGCTTTCTAATTCTTTGCAGTAGATCTGCTTATGTAGCCTTCTTTGTCTGTCTGTGACTGTGGAGTGAGGAGAGTCTTTAATCATTGCTCCAGTATAAAATATTGACTTACTAGATGTTTCTACTGGAAACTATGAAAAAAGGGATTACTTAGAAAACACATTTTTATTAGGCTAAAACTAACATGTACTGTTCCTTTTTTGCATCGGAAAGGATGCTTTCTGGAGTACCATTTTCTCATTAGTAAACAGATATTTAGGACCTTCCTGGGTCTTTTATGTTTGCTCCTATTATTTTTACTCCTTTAATTTGCTTCCTGTTAAAGCTGCTAATTTCTTTTGTGTACATTCTGAAACTTCTTAATTGAGTCTTTTTTCATTTTTCCAATTATACTTGAGATTTTTGAATAGCGTTATGGTTTCTGTTTCCTGATACTAAAGATTAATGCCAATGATTTAAATCAATATGCTTTTAAATCATTGTCTTTTACCTATTTAGGTGCCAGGGGTGGGTGGGAAGAAGACCACCAGTCAGTAAATTTATTAAAGCTGTACTAATATAAAACTCCGCTGTTTATCAAGGGGTATTGGGGGAAAAGAAGAAATTACTCACCACTTAATGAGTTTTACATTACCTCTTTTCAAAAAGGGACCATTTTTTCCCCTCTATACTAAGATAGTTTATAGTTTTAGTTTTTATAGCGTCTGTGATTGTTTTCTGCCTCTAGATTTAGCTCTGTCCTTTTATCTTTCAGTCAAATGGTTGGAGTAGAATACATTCTTCTACATGCACAAGAGCCAATCCTTTTCATCATCCGTAAGCAGCAAAGACAGAACCCAACACAAGGTAAGGATGTAGACAGCTGTCCTATTTAGAATGTAGAGCGTAACCTATGACCAGCCTTTCCCAGTCTGCATGTTCTTCAGACAGACCAATTCCAAGATTTTTTTTTTTTTTTAATCAATGGCCAGGGTGGCTGGAGAATTTGGGGAGCTGAAATCCAAACATCTGGATGTTGTGGAATCTTACCATTGATACAGATTTTCTCTGTGCAGGCATACTACTTCCATATAGAGTGGTGGACTATGTGTCCCCTTTCATTTTGCATGGAGCACTGAGTTCCACAGTGACCTAAATTACCTCTTTCAGTTCTGTGATTCCGTAAACCTAAAATAACATTGTATGTTATTCTCCAGTGCTCCCATCTTGCCTCACAGCTCTACCTATTTGTTTGTCTGGACAAGCTGCATAGGTTCTAATAAAATATACTCATATTTTTAGCAAGGAAGTTACTCCTTTTCATTATGTCAATATAAGAAGAAATAGAATCAGAAATAACGCTATTCATTCTGATAATTTGTATTGTTATGTCTTCTTTTTAAATGTTGTTTAATTTTTTTTAAAAAACAAAAGTGTTAGATTTCCATTATCTCCTACTATCTAATCCAATTTGAAATAATAGTATTTGCTGTGGAGGACATGTAGATAGTGTTGGAAGCTATCTTTGATGCTAACTTTATTTTTTTTGCAACAATAAGGGAATGCCCTCTTGTGGTAAAATGCAATATGGGTAACAAAATGTGTTTTGTCTTCAAGAAGATTCCTTTTTGGGGTCACACTGGTATCTTCTTGTGGTTAAGACATTATCTGATGTTATTATAGTTAAGATTTTTATCTGGCCATGTTTGTTCAATCTTTCTGCATTTTAAATCTCTTATCACTATTACTTTTGAAGTGCAAGACCGATTATTTCTGCATCTGATTAGTGGAAGCAGAATTTGCAGAATTTATATATTACTGTTTTATTACACTGAAGTAGTTTTAAATGCATGGCCATGAAAGAAAGGCTACTGAGGATGTAGGCTTTAAATATTCTTGTAAACTAGCTTTATTTCAATTTTGTTACTGTTTTATACTGTTTTATAAATTAAGCAATTGCACTTTTTATATATCTAGAACGGATTGGTTGACTAATGCGGTGCTTCTTTTAAAGTTATCCCATTGGCTGATTACTACATTATTGCTGGAGTAATTTATCAGGCACCTGACTTGGGGTCAGTTGTAAACTCAAGAGTGGTAAGTTTCTGTGACACTTGTTTTATTAGAATAAAAGAAATGCCCATAAACATTTAGTTTGGTTTCTGGTTCTTTGTAAGCTTCTGAAAGTCTTATTTTTCTGGAAAAAATATTTTCTATAAAAATGTAACCACGGGGAGAAAAATGAAATTTTGGAATTATATTAGACTATATACTAATACCATACATAAGATAGAAAACTCTCTCTGCCAAGATTTAATTTTGATATTTCTCCCATAAAAAGGACACTGTCACTTAAATCAGGAGTCCCCAACCTCTGGGCCACGAGCCACTACTGGGCCATGGCCAGTTTGGAACAGGCCTGTGTGAGTGGCTTGTGAGTGCGCATGCATGTGCAGCTCCACTCACGTGTGTGGGCAGTGCTTGTGCTTGGGTGTGCAGCTCCATTCACACGAGCAGCGGGCTCTTGTGAGTGGAGCTTCGCAAGTGCCCACTGCTCGCGCAAGTGGAGCTGTGCTCATGAGCGGCAGACAGTTGCGCTCACACACGCTCCACTCGCACGGGTGCTTGCGCATGTGCAGACCTACCAGTCACACAGAACTATCCCCCCACGTGCCGGGCTGCCAAGCTGAAAAGGTTGGGGACCGCTGGCTTAAATAGTTTTCTCAGGGGTAGCTATTTGCCTAATCACAGAAGGTGGAGACATCTCAGGAAGGATTGCTGAAGATGATCTATTTATGAAATAGTTGCAATCTGTCCTTCTTCTGACTAATGTGTGCTCTTGCTCAAGCTCTCTCTGGAAATATTGGCCTGCTTCACTATACCTTCATGTCCTTTCCTTTAAATATTGTCATCTAATGAGACCAAGGAAGTGAGCTTTTTCTGTAGTACTCTATGAAACACCATTTCCCCTGGGATCTGGCAGGCTCCCCTCCTTTTAGCCTTCCGGAAGATTGTGAAGGGTTGGTTTTTCCCATAGACACTGGGTCAGTGTGAGCTTGGATCATGACTATTATATGGTTAAGTGGATTTGAGATTGTGGATCAGACACCTGGCTCCTTCATGTTTAATTTTATTACTTCAGTGAATCACCTAAAGTTGTGTTTTATATGACGGCTGGCCATATACATCTTTTAAAAATATGAATAAGTAATCAGATTGCCTTTATTTCATCGATCCTTCCAGAGACGATTGCTGGAGGCTGCATGTTATATGAAATCAGAGTCATAATGAGCACATTTACCTATTTGTCTGATAACATTTCCCCCCACTTTTCTTTCTGGTATCTTTTTTCCTCATTTCTTTCAGCATCATGCTGCAGGGATGGTTAGATAGGTCTTGTCAGAGGTCTATACTGAGCTCCTGTATTGCATTGGGGCTTTAAAACTGGATCAGAGATCGTACAAAATTAGTCTGAGGACAGATTATCACTCCTACTTTATCTCATGTCTGTTAGGAAGGTTAGGATATTGCTCTCTTTGCTCCTTTTAGTCTCCATATATTGACTCGCCTGACTTCCCTCCTCATTTGTAACGACATAATGGGAAATTGTATCAGAACAAAGCTTTAGAATATTGAGCTATGTGTGAAAAACATATGTTGTGAATTGGCCCATTTGGCTGGCTGAAGTACTGTACCAAGCGAGAAATCACGTATTTGCTTACAAATTTATATTGTCCAGCTCACTGCGGTGCATGGAATCCAGTCAGCTTTTGAGGAAGCTATGTCTTATTGTCGCTATCACCCCTCCAAAGGTTATTGGTGGCATTTCAAAGATCAAGAGGAACGAGGTAAGATACCTGGGACTCTAGATTTCAAAATGTCTTCTTCCCTTTTCCTTAGGAATGATGTGATGTGTCTTGGTCCGTATACTTCAGTGAAATTCAGTTAATGTTACTGTCACTTTATATTTGTAAACAATAGAATACAGAATGAGTAAAGTATTCCAGTGTCATTGTGTTCTTCATTGCATTTTTCCCATTTGATTGCGGATTCTGGGTTTTGGGCACCGTGCTTGCCTAGATCACGTAGCACAACTTACTAGTCTGCATGGGGGAAGGGGAGATTTTTTTTGGGGGGGGAGGGCTGGGTTGTCCACAGAGCCTAATAAGGTCTGAAAGGAAGTGTCTGTCTTAATTAAGATCACCCAGCTGGTTTCTATGCTCGGTTTAGAACTTGGGCCTCCCTGCATCTAATCCAACACTTTAATTACTAGGTGACTTTGGCTGTCATTCCAGAAATATTGCATATCAGTATAATATTTCTGTATACGGTGGCAGGTTCTTCCATTAGTACTTAACTGTTGTAAAATGTATTCTCAGTTACCCAGAGCTGTCAAAATCAGAATGATCATTTTCTGCCAGCTATTACTTTTTTTCCTGTATCCCCTAAGCAGTATATGTTGCAATGCGAATTGATCAAAGCCATACCTATTCCACCCAAATTGCAGAATACCAAAAGCATCCATCTGAGTTTCATTTCTAAATAACTAGAATTAGGTTCCTCCTTATGCTTATAAATTATGATATCAAAAAGTTGATATGCTTTCATTGCGATCCCCAATAATTTTATTTTCAGATAAAGCCAAACCAAAAACAAAGAAGAAGGAGGAACCAAGCTCTATTTTCCAGAGGCAACGTGTGGATGCATTACTTCTAGATCTGAGACAAAAATTTCCCCCTAAGTTTGTGCAGGTAACAGTCAAATAGTAAACTACTATTTGCTATAAGGAGATACTTTGTCAAAACTGTTCAAGTCCTGCTCGGAGTTGGACTTTGGCTTTGCAGGTCATTTGAGTTTGACTGATGCTCAATCTAGTATGAAAAGAGTTTGAGACTGTTGATCCCAAAGAATTGGATGGGATCTTCAGGCTGTGGACAAGAGATGACTTGTGAGAGAGAATATGTTTCTGCCAGTTCTTAAATGGGGAGGGGTGTTTCTTCCCTTTCAACAAACAAACAAAAAACACCCCACTCCTGGACTCAACAATTCTGGAAAATATTCATCCTCTCCAACCTTAAATTGAGAAAAAAATTCAGTTTGTAACTCTAGATGGACCTCAAGGAAATTATTATCTGGACCCTTTTCAGTTGAGCTTCAAACCAGGATGTGGTACTGAGATGACATTAATCACATTTATAGATGACCTTATAGATGAATAGCATAGCAGAAAAATATTTCATAGAATTTTAGAGTTGAAAGAGATCTTAAAAGTGATATAATCTCCTAACTAATTTAAATCCTATCAGATGCTCTAGGGGAATTGGTACTGAACAGGAAATTAGATGAACCCTAAGGTTCTTTCCAATTCTATAATAATATGAAACACTCTTTTGCTATGCCATCCGTCCCAGGTTATAATATTTTGTGTAGGCTTCCAGCAATGAGAACTCATAACTTAATTAATAACCTGTTCCACTGGCTGCTAGCTTATATAATTAGAAAGTTTTGCCTGACATTTATCCTAAACTGACTTCATTGTAATTTTAACTTACTAGTTCTGGTCCTGCTTCTTGGGCAATGTATATTAAATCCATTTTCACACCATATGTGTGACTTGCTATGTTAATCCTGAATACAGTTATCTAGATAGATTACAACCAACATTTCTTATTCTCTATTTGGGCAATGTTTAGTAAGAGAAGGTAATCTTATATCTATACCAGCATCCAAGATGTGTATTTTTGACTATTGACTCAGTTTTTCTCTTTTTGTTCGCAGCAAAAATCTGGAGAAAAACCAGTCCCAGGTAAGAATCTAGTCCGTGTTTTTGAATGAGACCAACTCCAGCAAATATATATGATTAGTTTTAATACAGGCTCTTGAGAGGATAGTTTTGTCCAAGTTGGTCATTATGCATATCATTTTATGCTAGTAGATTTTCTGTAACTTGGATCTTAAAGAATTCCCAGTCTTCAATCTTTTTTTCCCCTCTGCCATCTGAAGAGCAGGAATTTATTATTTTCTCAAAGGAAAAGAAAATCTGTACGTAGCAATTCGAAAGCAGTCTTGTTATTCTGGCAATTTTGAATTGCAAGGGTGGCTTTAGGTAAAGGGAAGGCCACTTGAAAATAAGAAAAAAAAATTAAGGGTTTTTTTCTTCCCATAGCTGTCATTTCTTCATTGCTTTGCTAAATGAAATGGTTTGCTTTCAGATATAGGATAATGGAACTGAATTTGTTCCTAGTACTTACTGGTAAAAATTGAGGTGATTCTTTCAGTGAAGTCTAGCATTAGGAAATATCTCATAGTACTGATAATGAGACATGTAAGGCTATTAGAATGAGACTTTATGTGGTTTATTTTTTCCCAGTGGATCAGATTAAGAAAGAATCAGAGCCAGCACCTGAAGCTATAAAACAAGAGGAGAAGGAAGCTGCAAAGACCACACAACAGAGCACTTCTGCTAAAGGACCACCAGAGAAACGAATGAGATTACAGTGACAGAAAGGAAAATGACTTTTGTAACTAGTGAGGATTTGGTGAAGAAACTGAGGTAAATAAGTTAGCTATTTAAAAAGGGGACAGTGAACTGTGACCTTTCCAAAATTCCAGCCTTTGGGTTTTTTTTTTTTTTTTGGTTTTTTTTTTCATGTTACAAACTTACAGTAACTTTCAGGATGGAATGACCTATTTTTGCATTCAAGGCTGAATTTTCCTTTGTGAATCTTTTGAGGACTTTTTTAGGCTCTGATATTTTCAAATTGTAATCTCATACTTTTTATTAGTGTCTTGCTGTAGTCTGAAACATCTTTATCTTTCATAAATAGAGCTTGGCTCTATTGTTCCATCAGGTCTTTTCCAAACAAATTGGTTGCAGCAGTTCAGAGGTAGTTCTTTTTTGAAATTTTCACTTTCTCACTAAGATTAAATTCAAACTGAGATAGAAGATCTTCTTTTCCACAACTTGGATTATTATATTGATGTTTTCCCCTTCTCAGTTTATTCTTTGAACAGCTTACGCAGATGCCCATGATTTTGATACTTGCTTAAATATTGAAGTACAATAGCCAGTAAATAAGAGTATAGTAATATTCCATAGGCTTAGCTTCTCTCAATTACTGTAATTTTTTTGAAATACGGGTTGAGTATAAAATATGTATAAAATATTATGAGGAAGTTATTCTCTGGTAGTTTCACTACACTAGCTAGGGAAATCTTAACTCCCTGTAGAGAAAAGCCCTGTAAAGTAATTGTCAATAAAATTATGTTATAATCTGTGATTTTTCTAAATATTTATTTGTTTTGAAGAGGAAACAGATAAGAATGTTTTTTAAAGGATTTTTATTCTTTCTCCTTCGTTTTTCACAGTACATGTTGGTTTTTCCTTTTTTTAATTCTAAAAATGTTTTGTCCGTTTGTACTTCTTTCCATTCTACTTTTATATTATTTCACTGAAAAATAAAACAAAATATTTTAAATACTGTTTTCAAATTCACAGATATCTCATTTCCCTTTTCAATAGGCAAACTTCATTAATGTGATATTTTCAGATGTGCTGGATTAGCGTTAGCGTGACTCCTAACCTTACTGGCTGAGCATTTTAGAAGGTATAAGTTATTTGGAAGATCATAGATTATACAAAACTATTCTAAGGTTATTGCTATATTCTTATCAATTCCTCCCTTTGAATTATGAAGAGATAATCATACTAAGAAGTATTTAATACTCTTAAATATATGCACTTCATATATGCATTTCTCCAAAGAACTTCATAGTGACCCAGTTGATTGAAGTCCTTGTAAAGAACAGAGGGATTCATCTGAAATTGTGTCTAATAGTAGTAGTAGTAGTAGTAGTAGTAGTAGTAGTAGTAGTAGTAGTAAAGTTAGACGGGACCTTGGTGGTCATCTAGTCCAACCCCCTGCTCAGGCAGGAAACCCTATACCATTTTGGACAAATGGCTGTCCAGTTTCTTCTTAAAAACTTCTAGTGTTGGAACATTCACTGCTTCTGGAAGCAGGTTGTTCCACTGGTTAATTGTTCTAACTGTCAGGAAGTTTCTCCTTAGTTCTAGGTTGCTTCTCTCTTTGGTTAGTTTCCACCCATTGCTTCTTGTCCTGCCTTCAGGCGCTTTGAAAAATAGCTTGACTCCCTCTTCTTTGTGGCAACCCCTGAGATATTGGAACACTACTATCATGTCCCCCCTCATCCTTCTCTTCGTTAAACTAGACATACCCAATTCCAGCAACCATTCTTTATATATTTTAGCCTCCAGTTCACTAATCATCTTTGTTGCTCTTCTCTGTACTCTTTCTTCAGTCTCAGCATCTTTTTTGCATCGCGGTGACCAAAACTGGATGCAGTATTCCAAGTGTGGCTTTACCAAGGCATTGTAAAGTGGTATTAATACTTCATGTGATCTTGATTCTATCCCTCTGTTAATGCAGCCCAGCACTGTGTTGGCTTTTTTGGCAGCTGCAGCTGGCTCATATGTAGGTGATTGTCCACTAGGACTCTGAGGTTTAAGGTCATTAATAATGTATTCTTATAAATTTCTATTCAAATGTAACAGCTATATTCAGTAGTACATGTTTCCAAGTGTCTAAACATGGCATATACTCCGAGGTCCCCTGGAACAGTAGTGCAGAAACAGAGGGTGAGTTTGATGTTTGCCGAGCGGTAGAGAAAGAAAAAAATAGGACTGCCATGTTTTAGGGTGCTAAATTTTCCACCACTGAAAAGAAAGAATACCAAATATAAGGTGAAGGAAAGAAGAGCTTAAAAACCTGACTTTATCCTTAAATGATCTGATTCTTTCTTACCCTTGATTTCTCCTCCTAATTACTTTGAATTCCTGTATTTCTCTTTTCCTCCTCCCTCTCTCCACTCTCCTAATTCATGTTGTACTGCTTCCATCTCCCTTGCCCACTTCCAAGACAATGGAAAGATTCCCATAACAGATTCACAAGAGTGGAAAAATAAGGCAACCTCTGTCCTACATAAATTTTCCAGTTGTAACCTGTTCAAACTTGATTGATTGCAGCAGGCTTAAAGTGAATGAATGAAAGAAAAAGACATTGTGTAATTAATTTTCTTCAAGTTATGTCATTACAAACAGCATTGGAACACACACACACACACACACACACACACACACACACAAATACACACATACACCAACATACAAGTTGCAAAGGAGGACAAAGAGCGGTACTCCTAGAAAACACTGATTAGTATATATGGCGAGGAATAAGATTATTGTCAACTAGAGACAAGAATATTCTGCACAAGATAGAACAAAAGTTCATAGAAACCTGGAGTACAGTGCAGAATTGTCATCATTTCTCACAGCTGTCATTGTCAAATCTAATTGAAAAGATGTGAAAACCACCAATTTCTGCATTGTGACTGTCTGATCTAAAATGCCTACACATCCCTTAGAATGAACTTTGTTTATACAGAATAATGATAATGCTAATCTCAGGGAGAAAGAATCAGACTAAAGGGCTACTTTGTTCTGGATGACATTGGATTGCACAAGAACACAATATTTGTAATTAAGATAATACATAATTCAATATATCAGAAAAAAAAACCCTGAGATTCTCTGTATCAAACCTATGGATAGATGCTGAGACCTGGGTTTGGGAAAAGGTGTTATTAGCAAAAAATATATATATCCAGGCATGTAGTGGAAAATGAAGAATTTGATACTCCTGCAATTCAGCACAATGTCATTTGTTGTCACTGTTTAATGTTAGCCTCTTTTTCAATTCCATCAACAGTAGGGATATGCAGTATTTTGCTATTCATGAACAAAACATTTTGGAGAAATCTGTGACATTCTTTTTTCCTCTCTGGACCATGCTTAACCTCCTCTACACCATGGCAATTGGCAGTTGAGTGGTTTACAAAGGTAAATTCTCTGAACTGAAAGTAATTGCAGGAGGTTGACCTAACAGCTGACAATTTTTTTTCTAGAAATTGCTAAATCCCTCCAGGAGCAGCATGATGCTAAAGAGGTTTGGTGTGGTTCAGAGACAGCATAGAACTTCCAAGAGTTTGGGTTTAGGTATTACCAATATGCTGATGATATCCAGCTGTATGTTTTGACCTTAGGCTGGCCAGGTATTAATCTAGTGCAGGAGTCTTCAAACTTGGCCCTTTTATGACTTGTGGACTTCAACTCCCAGAATTCCTCAGCCAGCGTGCCTTGAAGACGACAAGTCATAAAAGGGCCAAGTTTGAAGACTCCTGATCTAGTGTGTGGAGGTTGGATGAGGAAGACGGACTCAAGCTCAGTCCTGACAAGACTAAGTGGCTGTGTTTGTTTGGGCCCCCAGATCCAGAGATATCCCATTGTTGACCCTCAGTGGGATTGCCCTTTCCCATTTGAAATTTGTTTGTAATCTGGGAGTCCTCTTAGATTTTTCGAATCCTGCTAGAGAGCAGTTTGAAACTGAGGCCAGGAGGACCTTTACACAAGTACAATTAGTTACCAATTGCCTAGTTTTCTGGACTGAGAGGTTCTTCAGATAATCACACCCTGCTCATTTCATGACTGCATAATTGTAAAGAATTTTGCATGGGGCTATCTTTAAAGACCATATGGAAGCCACAGATGGTTTGGAAACTGGTACAGGAAGTGTTGGGGAGGGCACAATATTGTGTACATGTGACTCCAATTCTGGATACAATTCATGCTGGTTATCATCTTTAAAACTCATTACAGCTTAGAACCTGGCTATCTGAGGGATCAGGTAACTTCAGCCATCCCTGCCCGCCTGGTATGGTCCAGCAGGGTGGGTATATTTTAGGTTTCAGCAATTGGTACAAACTGCAGTTTTGAATACTTTTCAAGTTCAGCTCCGCATAACATTCACTATACTAAATCAAGATGAGATGTCATCAAGATGTGTTTAGCTATAGCCAAATCTGACTGGCTAAAGAATGGACATAGTTGCCCTATCAAGCATATTTGTAAGAAAGGGCTCCTCTATTGCAGCTGTTATTTACAAATCCATTGACATTTGAAGCTACTCCCAAATGAGCTTGGTCTTTCAGGGAGAGTACCACCTGTCTAAAATAGGGTGCCGCTGCTACTAGCAGTCCACGGTTTCTTGAGCCCTTCTCTCATTATTCGTGAACAATCAGGCCTGCTCAAGCTGATTTATCTGTAAAACTGTTTAAACTGGAAAGCCTCTAGGATTCTACAGTAATCACCAGCTTGAAGAAATCTCAGAAATCTTGGGAAACAAAATCATCAAAAGTAATCAGAATCACATCTTGGAAAAAAACAGAAGTCTTACTCGTTCCTTGTGTGGATGGCCCCAGGGTATTAGGCCCCAGCACAGCATTTGGAATTTCATCAGATGAACCGGTAGTTTTGCCTTTTTCTTTTGCCTTTTTTAACATAATGGCTGATCAATGTTTAATGGATAATCAAAGTTTAATATTCATTGTTTTGTGGGTTTTCTCCACAGGCTATTTTAGTTTGTGCTGTCTATTGATTTAGTGCTTCTTCTGTTTTTGTCTTTTTTTTTTTTTAGTTTTGTATTAGAGACTGCTGGAGTTAGGTGGTCAATAAATTTAATTAAATAAGCTTTATGTATTTTTTTTTTGTCTATTAAGAAAGTTGTGAACATGTTAAAGGCCAGAACCAACCTTACACGTTCCAGGGATCAACACAAACCTTTGGATCAAAGAAGCCACACCATCTAGAAATGAAAGGTGATCATAAGACTAGAAAGCGGGAAATCATAAGTTCATCTTCTGCCTTAGCCATGAAAGCCGGCTGGATGACTCTGGGCCAGTCGATCTGACTAAGCCCAATCCACATCACAGGGTTGTTGTGGAGAAAATAGGAGGAGGAAAATATGTTGGATATGTTCACTGCCTTGCGCTATTCGTAAAATAATTATGACTCCAAATAAATAATAAATGAATGAATAAATTCTCCAGTCCCTTTTTTAAAAAAACCAAGGTGATGAGGATGAGGTATAGGAAAAGAAAGATGCAATTCATTCCAAGGTGAGATACTAATGCTTTTAGGGTATGAGGTGTGATAATACTGCATATTTAGCATAGTATTCATATTCTGTTTTTCGGGATATAAGGCCTCACAAGAGTGTATATGAACATTATAAATAGTATATGAGAATAAAATATTCAAATATATCACAAATATGTCTAAAATAAATGGTGTTAAGAATTGTTTAAATAAAAATAAATACCTTGCAAATTGGCTTTTTTTTTAAAAAAAAAAATCATCAATTCTTTTTTTTAAAAAAAACAACAACAGAGACCTCAGGAAAAGAGTGTGAACTTCATATAAGTGCTGTTATCTTAAAACACGCCTCTCTTAGCCCGTAATTCCCAAACCTATTTTGTGGGTTCCTGGTGTGCCTTCTGATCACAACTATTGAAAATGGAGGTAAGAAACAGAAAATGCAGAATCAGGCCTACAGTAGACTTTGTATGTTAAATTTTAAAAAAAATCCCCCAATTTTTCTTCCAAATCTATGGACGAAAACAGAATATTCTGCTCTGATTACATATGTGGCATCTTCATTTTACCTGATTGTTCTTCTGTCTCCAGTTTCTTGACCTCTCCAAAGTATGTTCAGGGCAATAACTTTCTGCTTAAAGGTTTCCTACCTCCTTAAGAGCAGAGAGCTAAATAACTCGACTGATTCAAGAATAGGGCTTCAAAAGATAGCAATAGACTGCTTTGTACCTAAGGATATTTGTCATATGCCTGACAATCAGGATGGAAAATAAGGGTATAGCTCTCGTCAATTCTCTGCATGTATCTGGACCCAACACAACTTAGTTACATGGATATTGCTCAGCATTCCATCTGCTGAAGTAGCCAGTAGATAGTTAAGCTTACTTATCGTTGCTTTCCTTTCTTTTAATCAGTAAAATAATAATAATAATTTGTCCTTGCTCTTGAACTTAGTTTTCCAGGATGTATCTAAATAGAATACATGGTTGCATCCAATGGGATGGCCAGTGGAATGGGAGAAAAGATATCTGAAGATAAAGAGGTTTCTTAAAAGCAACCTATTCTCCATATTCCCCCCCCCCTCAGTGTTAAGAATGAAACTTTACTTCTGTTTCAGTGACTTGGGACTAGGGTTGTCTGGAATGGCAAAATAGCCTCCCTGATGGAATAGATCAGTCCTATTGGACTCTGCCTGCCAACTAGAGGGAGGGGCTTTCCTGAAAGTTCTGGAATGCCCTCCAGAAGATACAGGAAAAAGCCGTTTGCTGTACAGCCAAAGGGAACTCCATGGCTACCCTCCTCCCACTACAGTGGTGGCGGCGGACTTTTATTTTTATCCTCTGCCTTCCACCTTGCTGCTTCCATCGCTGTCACTCTCCAACGCCTTGCTGCTTCCATCGCTGTCACTCTCCAACGTGAGGCAAGGCCTCCCCTCCCTTGGCCCCTGAAGGGAGAAATGGGGATGGGTAGTGCCAAGAGAGGATTTTTCTGTCTTGTCCTTGCCTCTGGGATATTCTGGAGTCAGCCCATTTGTCAGGTACCACCTCAGGGGTTTTCCTTCATTTCTTACGAAGTTATTATCCCAAGAAGGATGGCACCCCGACGAGGCCGGGAACCGCAAGACCTTACTTATTTAATGGAGATAGAAGGGAAAGGCCACGTGGTACATCTCAGGCAGAAAAGGAATTTTGTTCCTAAGCACTTCCCTATTTTTACCTACAATGAGGATGGAGACATTGAGGTGGACTACCCTTTCATCAGGAATGACTGCTTTTACTATGGCTTTGTCCATGATGAGCCTTCCTCCCTAGTCACCCTCAGCAGTTGCTCAGGAGGACTCAGAGGCTTTCTACAAGTGGGTAATAAGCTCTACGAAATTGAACCTCTGCAGACATCTGCTACTTTCCAGCATGTGGTCTACAGACTGGAAGAGAAGGGGAATGAAATCCCAATGAGGTGTGGAGTAATGGAAGAAGACAAAAATCACCAGGAGGCCACGATCCAGAATGGAGAAAATATTATAAGCAGAAGTGCTTTGAGCGGACTATGGCAAACATACCCCAGGTACATGAAGATAGCAATTGTAGTAGAACATGAACGATATGTCCAATTTGGTAAAAATGAAACTGTCACTGCTAGGCAAGTCCTGGATGTTGTTCACCTTGCAGATTCGCTGTACAAGCCTCTTGGGATTCATCTGGTGGTGGTTGGATTAGAAATATGGTCACAAAAGAACCTCATTGCAATCGCAAAAAGCATAGATGAGTTGCTTGACACTTTCAATACATGGAGGAAAACGATACTTGTCCAGCATCTAAGGCATGATGTTGGCCACTTATTTGTATACAAGCATTTTGGGATTAAGTTTGGATTATCATTTGTTGGATCTGTATGTGATCCGAACTGGGCATCTGCTGTTGAGACATTTATTACTTCTAGTTTATTTTCTTTCACAATAACTTTTGCTCATCAACTGGGTCATAACCTTGGTATGCAGCACGATGAGAAATCCTGCACCTGTAAACAGCATTCTTGTATTATGGCTCCCTTCCAAAGTAGCACAAGTAAGTTCAGTAACTGCAGTTATACCAGTTATTCTAAGCTAATGGATACTAGTAGAAAGCAATGTCTGTTGATTCCGCCAGAACATGAGAAATTGTATGACCTCAAAAACTGTGGCAACAAGGTGGTAGAGAGTGGAGAACAGTGTGATTGCGGTTCAAAATTCCATTGTGAATCAGATGCATGTTGCCAGTCTAACTGTATATTGCGTTCAGGAGCCACTTGTGCTTTTGGAAAATGCTGTGCTGACTGTCAGCTTCTTCCAGCTGGAACAGTTTGTAGAGAAAGGACTAACATGTGCGATCTTCCCGAATACTGCACCGGAATTTCAGAGTGGTGTCCTGAAGATGTTTATGTACAGGATGGAGCTCCGTGCTCTGATGGGGGCTATTGCTATCATGGAAAATGCTCTACTCACAGTGAGCAATGCAAAGTTATCTTTGGCAAGCAGGCATTGGTTGCCCCACTGGAGTGCTTCAAAGAAATAAATTCTCGAGGTGATCGTTTTGGCAATTGTGGCATTATTCCTGGTAATGTGTATAAGAAGTGTGAGAACAATAATGTCTGGTGCGGCAGAGTCCAGTGTGTAAACATTGGTGAAGTGCCTAATTTGAATGAGCAGAACACCATAATTCAAACTACTCTTAGCAACCATTTGTGCTGGGGTATAGATTCTTCAAGTGGAATTGGTGTAGCTGATATTGGAGTGGTGAAAGATGGCACACAGTGTGGCCTCGGCATGATATGTATTAATGGTGATTGCATCAAGGTCTCCCTGCTGAACTACGATTGTAATCAAACCAAATGCCACAACAGAGGAATATGCAACTCTCATAAACATTGTCATTGTAACTCTGGTTGGGCCCCTCCGTACTGCCTAAAGAAAGGCAATGGGGGCAGCATTGATAGTGGGCCACCCAGCAATGCCAGTGGAAGAAGGACTAAAGGCATTGTAATGGTTCTTTCTGCTGCTGCTCTTCTAGCTGGGTTTGGCATCTTATAACAGACAGAATGTTGGATGACAGACTTTGATAACTCCAATTCTGACACAAGGACAAATGTCCAATCTGCTGTTATAAACTCTTCGGAGACTAGGAGGATATAAGGAATATCCTTTCAGTGCATTGTGCCGGGATAATGCAATTTGTTTCTTGCAATTTGGCCTCTAAAGATAGTTTTCCGATCTTTATCGCTGTAGCTTTCTAGGCTTATGCCTTATGAAAAGGCTTATGGCACTCAGAATGTCATGTGGGGAAGGGGGGAGAACAGTTAGAGAATTACTGGGGAATATCCACAAGAGCGCTGTTGCAGTTCATTCCCCTCATTGAAATGGGAGGTTGTTACAGACTATGTGGATATAATCCAGGCTGTTAGGAAAACCCGTCAGATAAAAGATATAGAAAATTTCAAACTTTATCTACTTTAATTGGCTCTTCCTATAAAGATTGCTGCATGGAGGGAAGAACTGAAGTTTCTTGTTAAAGCTGAGCCTTCTCGGTACTTTACAAATTGGTACCATAATATTTTGGATCCACAGAATAATTTTTGAAAGTATTTCTTGGAGTATATGCAGCTTATAAAATCTGATTGGAGGTGGACAATGATAGAGCTGCTTAGAGAAGTAAAATGAGTACCTAGACAGATCAAGTTTGCAATGGCATCTTCAGTTGATTTATCTGAATGGCCTGTTGTGATGAGATGGTATGTTTACACAAGCACATTTTAAGTGCCATTTCGAAAAAGCAAAAGTGCAGCTGGGGCTGATCCTTGTATACTCTGAATGGGGAAAGAACCAGATGATGAAGTAGCAAAGTCAGAGGTCACATTTTGCTCAGAATAAACATTGCTGTAAACCAGGGGTAGTCAACCTTGGCTCTTTTATGACTCGTGGACTTCAATTCAATTCTGGGAGTTGAAGTCCACAAGTCATAAAAGAGCCAAGGTTGACTACCCCTGCTCTAAACTACAGTAAGAGCAATCCCATTGGGCTCCTAGTGTTTGACATTTCTCTAGAAAAGAATGCCTCAAAATTGCACATAACAAGAACTTTTTGCTCAAAGAGCAGCATAGGTATTGTTAATGACAGAGATTTGCGAAGGTGTCGAACACGAGATCAAATACTGCACAGAATCATAGCATAACTAATCTACCACAGACCACGTTAACCTGTGACAATATATTTCTTCTAGTAGGGTTTTATATATTTAATACAAGATTTGAGGTAGTGGTGAAATTGTTTGGTGCTCATACCAACACTCCCATTGACTTCAGTGATATATAATCATGTGTAACTGTATAGGGAATTGCAGCAACTGCTTGCAGCTTAATTGTTACACTGCTATTCTGTAGTGACTCCTGTGTATTACATCAATTCAGAAACTGTTTAGAAAGCATGAGAATAAACACATTATTGTAAAATTGTGATGATAAAAAATTTAATTTGTTCAGAATTTTTTTGTACTTTTTGCAGAAAAAACAAGTGCAAACCAGCGGAGTTTTGTGTGCAATAGCAGCAATGCTCCTTCAGCAATCAAACATCTGAAATGAACACAGTACATTATTTCTGGAATTGTGTCTGCCTTGCCCACTATTTTATCTTTAAATTTCCTTTCATAATCCATACGTGACCACTGCATTTGTTATCGCTTGAGTTTCCTGTAAGAATTAATTTTTATTTCTGAACAGTAACATTTCTTCAAAACAGACCCAGTTCACCATATATCTTTAAAAGAGGGATCTTATCCAACTATCATATATTACTTATCACATTGTATAATACAGTAACTACTTTCAAATGTGCTTTGTTATTGTATAACCATGAGAATTATTACATAGGAATTATTTCAAATTATTTAATAAATTATTTTATACGTATTTTGTTGCTGCACTCTGTAGATTTTATTCTTCAGTAGCGATGTCACTAAAAAGGTAATATGGTTCTTTGTCAGAGAGTAACACGTTATTCAAAGATTACTGAATCAAAGGGTTTTCATCTTCTGCTATGAATGCATCTTAATCTCCTGGACCATGCAGCTTTTATCCATAAGCAAATTTTAGTTAATTTTCTCTTTTATTTGAAAATAGTACACAAAGTACAAACCATTGTACATGATTTTTGGGTCTGGTGCTCTGTTGGTATAGTTTTCTTCAATCTAATGCAGGGCTGTCAAACTGCTGGTCAGTTATATCATATGGAGGCTGCGTTCACCCCAGCTCCAGCAATGCGAAAAAAGTCACGATATGTTGTGATACGACACGTGACATTGCCAGTTTGACACCCCTGTAGTAGACTGCCTTCGTGTCACACAATTTCTCATACATTTTCACTATTTTTAATTGCATATTTGATGGAAGCTTTATCATAAATTGTTTGCCAATGAATAAATATTCCAATTAGTTCTTCATAATAGAGGAAGTAGAAAAAACTACTTTTTTAAAAAAGAAAATAATTGTTCTGAAATATTTTGCACCTAAAAACTGAGAATCAGCATTATTATAAAATTGCAAATAACAAGACCACGGGTAATATAATTGTGGCCTACTATGGGAGGTTCATGGCAGATGTAGGTTTTAAGTGAAACTTGTTTATTTTCTGTTTAGCCTCTTAGTCACAATACTAAACCAGTGCTTGCAGTGTAACTAATTCCCTTGGTTCCATGAAATTAAGGAACATAATTATTTTCTTGTCACAGAACTGCTTGAATTCATTAGATCAGAATGCTTAGTAGTACTTTTCTTAGGAGAAAATGGAAATGAGTAAGAAGGCTGTATCCTGGGATGGGAGGAGAAGCTTTACTTTTCTCCTCATTTCAGTATGTTGCCAAATGTTTGAGGAATGACCCCAGATTGTGAAATTATCTTCCATGCTTTAATGTTCGGTACTTGGTAGCTATGGGTGGCAAATTTTGAGGATCCTTGCCAAGGCACAGACAGATGTGTGCACATATGCATGTATATTTCTATGAATGTATTTGTATGTTTATAGTTATATTTTGTTATTTATTAATCTGACACTACTACATTACATACACTGAATACAAGTACAAAGACAAATTTCCATCGAGGTTGCAAATTGGAATTCTAACTTAAAGACAAAAGGACAGTTTTTATTGGTGTTATAATTAAACAAGTGGAATGATAATCCTAGGCATATCATTCAGCAATTTATTCATAGATTATAATCTTCTGACTTCCCAATGCTGCTTTAAAGCCACTGAAAACAGTGACTATAATGCTATTACATGCAGCGTACATACCAATAGGAACTGTCAGCAGCTGTAAAAATTAAAATGGCTTCCTCTAGTCTAGGTAATGTGAAACCTCCTTTAAAGAGAACAGCATGAACAAGAAAAATCATTCAGGTTTGCTGCTTTACTTTCCCCAAGACATATGATTGGTTTAATGGAATATTCATTTGATCATTTTTTGATTCATATTTTTATTAATCCACAGAATCTGTGTCAAAATAAGCCAACCTACTTTTTCTTATTTTTGGTGCTTTCTGTACTCATGTCTACATTACTGAGTCACGATGAAATGTCTTAATTTAAAAATTTTAAAAGTATGTATTTATTTACTAAATTTATTTCCCAGCCATCTTGTTTCGAAGTGATTCGACATGGAAAAGTATATCATAAATAAGACAATATGATTTATCTGCTCAGCAAAATACTTGGGGATGGGGGGAAAATAACCCTCTTCCTGCCAGTCTGTTCCATTCTTCATCATTCAAGCTCCACCCACATTCCAAGGGAAGCTACATAACTGTTGCTATATACAGAATCCTCCTTTTCATCATCTTATTTACATCTGAGATTCTTTCCAGCTTCTTACCACTCTGTCTTCTACTTTAAGAGAGCTTCCTTTTGGAAATGAAATATGAGAAGGTGTGCTTTCAAGATTTCTTTCTGCCATGGAAAAAGACCATCCATCTTCTGCGGCTCTTGATGTTTCTCAGTAATCTTCTGACTGTGACTGCCAGACAAATACTTCCTCGGGGCTTTATTTATGCTTCTTATGAGGTGACCACCCCACAGTTATTAACTCCAAAACCTGGACAACAGGAACGACAGAATGTCACTTGTCTCCTTCATTTTGAGGGAAAGAATATCATCATGCACCTCACACAAAAGAAGAACTTGGTTCCTAAGCATTTGCCCATCTTTACCTACAGTAAGGATGGGGATCTGCAGCTGGACTATCCATTCTTCAGGGATGATTGCTACTACCATGGTTTTGTGCAGGACAGACCCTTCTCTCTGGTCACTCTCAGCATTTGCTCAGGAGGTCTCAAAGGCATCCTGCAGTTAGAAAATAAGACATATGAAATTGAACCAGTACAGGGATCTACTACCTTTCAGCATGTGATATTTTGTTTAAAAGAAAAAGTGAGCGCTATTCAATTGAGATGTGGACTAGCACAGGAAGAGCAAAAACATCAAGAGACCATGTTCCAAAACATAGAGAATGTACTTTCAAAAATTGCATCCAAAGGAGACTGGTGGCTACGTACTCGATATGTAGAGATTGCTTTTGTAATTGAACATGAACGTTATTTAATGTTTGCCAGAAATGAAACTCTTACTGCTTTGCAGGTTCTTGACATTATTCATATTGCCAATTCTTTTTATGAACCTCTTTTTGTTCAATTATCTGTAGCTGGATTGGAAATCTGGTCACAAAAGAACTTCATAACGATTTCTCCTGCCATAGATAGCACCCTTCAGGATTTCACTGACTGGAGGAGAGACTTCTTGGTTAATCATCTAAAAAGTGATGTTGCTCACTTATTTGCATATAAGTCTTTTGAATTTTCACTTGGGTCAGCTTATGTAGGAACAGTTTGTGATGAAAGGATGGGATCTGCAGTTATCTCATATAAGACTACCAGTTTGTCCATTATCAGTAGCATATTTGCCCATGAATTAGGGCATAATCTTGGTATGCAGCATGATGAACAGTACTGTAGTTGTGGTAATGTACACTGCATTATGGCTCCAGTTCATGAAGTGACTGATAAATTTAGCAATTGTAGTTATAATGACTATTTTCTCACAATGAATGCCCCATGCTTGTTAAGTCCTCCAGACCCTGATAGAATCTTTAAAATCAAATCATGTGGCAATAAAGTAGTAGATAAGGAAGAGCAATGTGACTGTGGTTCAGAAGCTCAATGCAAGCTGGATCCATGTTGTCAGTCTAATTGTACATTTCGTTCTGGTGTCAGTTGTGGTTTTGGTGAGTGCTGTGCTAAGTGTCAGTATCTTAAATCTGGAACTATTTGCAGAAAGAAGACTAACTATTGTGATCTTCCTGAATACTGCAATGGGACTTCCGAGTGGTGTCCAGAAGATGTTTATATGCAGGATGGTGCCCCATGTAGTAACGATGCGTACTGTTATCGTGGAAAATGCATATCTGAAGATACACAGTGCAAAATGATTTTTGGCTTCAGTGCAAAAACTGCTACAGATATTTGCTTCAGAGAAATGAATGCTAAAGGCGATCGCTTTGGCAATTGTGGCCTTAAACATGGAATTTACCACAAATGTCAAACTAAGAATACTCTGTGTGGGCGAATCCAATGTGAAAATGTCCAAATCTTACCTTCTTTGGAGGAACACAGCACCATAATCCAAGTCCCCCTTGGCGATAAGCAGTGCTGGAGTACAGACTACCACAGTGGAATGAAGACAGCCGATATTGGAGCAGTGACAGATGGAAGTCCCTGTGGCAAAGATAAGATGTGCATCAACAGAAAATGTGTGAGCGTGTCTCTCTTGAAATATGATTGTAACTTCACCAAGTGCCATAATCGGGGAGTGTGCAACAGCCACAAACATTGTCATTGTGATTATGGCTGGGGTCCTCCAGATTGCCTGAAGAAAGGCCATGGTGGTAGCATTGATAGTGGACCTCCTCAACCACGCAAACGCTTAAGCACAATTGCAAAAGCTGGAATTATTGGAGGGATTATATATGTCCTTTCCTCTGCTTTTGTTTTGGTTAGCGTAGGGATTTATTTCAGATACGGATTTATTCACTTATTTAGACGGCTTAGGAGAAGAACTGAGTCATGAACTACAGAAGTGAGTAAACAGTAAATCACAGAAATGAAGTATATTAAATGTGTTCAGAAAAGGTAATGGATATTATTATATAAAGTGCATTTGAGCCTCTGGAATTTGAGTATTAATTTAAAACGCTGAAAAAATTGAACTTAATTTCAGGCAGTGTCATTTGTAAAAGTTCTGTTTTATTGCTCTGGTAAATACTGAAAACATTTCATTAGGAATTTTTTTTTACTACATTACTTAATTAACAAAGAAGAAGAAAAAAATAATTTAAAATTGCCTTTTAAAAATTCTAATAGAAACATAATGTGGGTGTTTAGGAGAAGCTGATCCTCCTGAAGCAGGGTCTTCCAGCCTGGCAGTCAACTTCATAGCAGCTATTGCTCAAAGAGGAGAAAAATGTTGCAACAACAACAACAAAAATCATTCATGGCTTTTATGGATAGAACAGGTATCAACGTATATTGCATTTACTACCAGTAGTACTCTTCTCAACATCTTTCCCATGTGGCAGACTCATCTTCACACCAAGGCATGTTCTCTGCAGTAAGAAAATCCCAAGCATGAAAATGGCAGACTGCTATGAGTTCAAGACTGGATTCTGCCCTGTGTGCTGGAAGACTTCATGGAAGAATCAGATTTGAGGAGAGAATTTGCCTTGGTAGGAAGTCTTCTTTATATAAGACATCCCTGTGCTGTAGAACTGATCACCGGTCCTCCATAGGATGAGGGACATTGACACCCTCCTTCCCTCATAATCTAAACATTTGATTCTTGAACTACAATAAAACCTAAGTACCATCTCATCCTCCAGTGTTATCAGAGACAAGGAATTGGAAATCTGGCACTGCCTCTTTATCATATAAGACTACTGAATGGGTCAGGAAGATG